AGCGGGACGGAGGCCCGAAAAACAGGTGGGGGTCCTCCACCACCACCACTCACAGAGGCTGAGCAGTTGGCTTCCACATTTGTGATAATGTTGGCAGCATCACATATGATCTTCACAGTGCAGAGAACACAAATTAGCATCCATTACTATAATGAAATAATTTGTTAGTTTGAAATGCTACAGGGAACTATGTACCTGTACATTAATGCTGTGGAAAGACTTCCTGTTCACATAGTCTCCTTCATTTACTGAAGGAGCAATGATTGGAATGTGAGTGCCATCTGTACAGCCAATCACGCCTGGGAACCCTGAAAATAAATGTAAAATTTAAGTAGTAGTTCAAGTATCACCACATCATGAATTAAGTTTTGTTCATCCTGCTACCTGCAATTTTGTGGAATCCCTCTTTGATAAATCTTGTGGGTCTATGACCGGGGAACACCACAAACGAGTACAGGAGACGTTTCAGTGCAACTGTAACATTCCTGACTGCCCGACAGACGGTAGCCTTGGAAACGTGCTCAGCGTCACCAATATTATACAGAAAGCTCCCGTTTGCAAAAAACCGAAGTGCAATACAAATAATATGTAATGAACTGAGAGCATGTCCGCGATGTGTCACATGAGCAATATTAGGCCTGAGGATGTTATTCAAATAAATTATAGATTGTGCTGAAAAACGGTAACGTTCACACAGGAAATCATCAGGAAATGATAAAATGTCCGAACGCGCTCTAATCACTCTCTCCCGGCGGAGAGCTCTGCGGAGAATTTGGGCTTCAACATCTACTGGCTCTTCAAGGAAGGAGCACGCCATGTCTGACACTTCCTACAGTCAGGTTTCTGACAAAGAGGCGGAGAACGTCAGGGTTAGTTGAAGTAAACCTGCTAGGGGGCAGGTTAGCTTCACGGAGTGTGTCGTCATAGTAACTCACTCAGAATTAATCTAAACTCGCTTTGTGAAACCGAAAACCCAGAGTTTTCGTTAACTCAGGGTATACTTACTCAGAGTTTGCTCTAAACCGGCTTCCTGAAATAGGGCCCTGAAGCCGAAAAGGAAACTGTCTCCTGTGATCTGTTAGGATAATAAGGTGCAGTCATTTAGATATGTCTGATAATGCAAGAGAAGGATTTAAATTCAATTCTGAATTTAAAAGGAAGGAATGAAAAGAAGCTAATACGGGAGAAATATAGTCTCTCTTTCCAGTCCCAGTTAATGATTTGGCTGCATTATTATGGATCAGCTTAGACTTTTTGTGAAACTTTTGGAACAAAGTGATAACTGAATTACAGTAGTCCAGTGTAGGAAAATTAATGAAATAATGAAAGTGTTTGTAACTTTTGTGATATTGAGTGCAATCCAAGTAGAAAACCTGTGGCATAAACAACAGTGACACATTTTTCTTTGAAATGTTTTTTGTTTTTTATTTTTATGGAAGAGCATGTTGGTACAGTTTTGTATGTGTATAGCTTATATGCATTGCTAACATCTATTTGAAGGGTCATTTGAATTGTGTCTTTCCTGTTTGTTCAGCTAAAGGGAAAGAAGGGAGCAACAACCAATGGGGTGGCATCAAAACAGAAGGCAGAGCCAAAGAACCAGCCAAAGAAGAATGGAGTCATTGCCACAAATGGGACTGCGTCTCTGAGGCGCAACAATTCCAGTAAGTTTTGAGATTTGAAGATACCAACAGGAAGTCATCTTGAATTGAAATATCACCCACCTTTCCCAGTCAGATCTTGCTCTGTAAGGAATAGCAGACAGTGTGTCTGGCTTCTCACCGCTGATTGCTTTCAAGCAAAATTCTGTTCCACAGCAATGTGGAAAATGCAGGATATCTAAATTACAGTTGGTTTAAGTAGAGGGGAGTAAATAACTGAAAGCCTTTAAACCTATCCTACCCTCGAGACAATCCATGTGACGCATGTGGGCCAGACTTGAGCCTCCTGCCAACTCCAGGGTAAGAGGCACGATAGCAGAAACAGACCCTAGCTCATTGGAAGAGAGCGAAATGTGGTCGAGTTAATCCTTGTGGTTCAGAAAAATATTTTTTGCCTAATGTGTGAACGAGGAGGGTTGTAACCACTTAGTGTAGCTTGCAATTCCTCCAAATGTCAGAATGGAAACACCAAATGTTTCATGTTGGGTTTAGAGTACCACAGATAAGAGTGCTAAATTTGAAACTATTAGCAGCGGTTTATATGACTGATTCTTCATAATTATTCACAATGAGTGTATTTTTCACGGAAACATAGGCCTGGCAATTAATTCCTGCGGAAGGCACTGAGGTCAATGGGTTTCTAAGCAGTTCATCCCCCC